CAGTTTTGATTTTTTTTTCACTTGGCTTTCTTGCTTGGCCATGGCTTTGCTCAGTGGTTCGATGTCTGCTGTTTTGACACTGTAATATGTGACCCTGGACCACAAAACCAGTCGTAAGTCATACAGGTATGTCAATAGCCAACAACACATTATATGGGTCAAAATGATCAATTTTTCTTTTATGCCAAAAATAATTAGTATATTAAGTAAAGATCGTGTTCCATGAAATTTCCTACATCAAAACTTAATTTTTGATTAGTAATATGTGTTGCTAAGGACTTCATTTGGACAATTCATTTGGATTTTCTCAATATTTTGATTTTTTTGCACCCTCAGATTGCAGATTTTCAAATAGTTGTATCTCGGCAAAATATATCCTAACCTAGCAAACCATACATTAATGGAAAGCTTATTTATTCAGCTTTCAATTTAAAAAAAAAATGACCCTTATGGCTGGTTTTGTGGTCCATGGTCACATATGATTGAATCTTTAATAAGGACTCAGATATGATTGCAAGATGTTTTTATTCCTTACATATACTGAATTTTACCATCTCTCTCTCTTTCCCAGGTACTTGCGCAGTTACTATTTTGCCGTGCGGACTCTGATCAACATCGGTGGTCTGCCTGAGCCTCACACAGTCTTTGAAATCACCTTTCAGTTAACAAACTTTTTTGTTGGTGTCTTTGTCTTCTCAAGTTTGATTGGACAGGTACATGATGTAATGATGTAAACATCATGAGCTCCTCCCCCTAGTCCCAGGCAGCCAATCGTATCATAGTCCTCATCCAGTTCTCCTGTCAGGAACCATGTAGATTTATTGTGATTGTGCTCCTGTTGTTTAAGAATGTAGGATGAGTCACTTCTTTACTAGATGTTACAGATTATAATGACATAATTTATAGGTGTCAGAGAGTTCGTGTAGAGATGAAGAAGATACATAAATCACAGGTACTTTATTTAAAGCCACTAACATAAACCCAGGAGAAAGACTTGGACTCTACAATCAAATTAAGACCTTCAATACCAGACGAAGACTGGGGAGAAACTGAGGACTTAAATAGAGCAAGCAAACAAGAACTAAACAAGCAGCACCTGAACAGAGTACTCAATCAATTAGTAACCATGGAAACATAACCAGCAAGGAACAAAGGAGCGCATGAACTATGGAACAAACTAGATAGCTGATCAAAAGACACACACAGAACGAGACAATAGGATTTTTTCATTTATTTATTCATTTTGTAGGCTCATTTATGCTGTTTTTACATGTTAATTACCTTTGCTGTCATCTAAAGGTCATCAAATAGTAATATCAGCTATTTGTCAGTTATCAGCCATAACATAAAAATTATTATTGGTTTATCAATATTGGGCATAATTTTGATATTGGTGCAAAAAAAGAGAGAGTAATTTTACAACACTGTTAAATGCAATCTTTAATAAGTCCCATAATAAATAGCCATTTTTTCATGCTGTACAAATAAAATATAGTGATGCCTAAATTGACTTGTATCATTTAATTTAAATGGTCAATTTCAGTTTGTAGTGTTTTATTTAAAATTTATTTTGACAAAATATTATACAATTTTAGTTTTGGCCATTTATCAGTTATGGGCCACAACATGAAAATAATTATTGATTTATCAATATTGGCCATAATTTTAATAATGGTTAAATGAATGAATGAATTAATTAATTAATTAAAGTAACAATACACTAACTATGGAATCTTTAATAAATCTCAAAATAAAATTTCATATATAACATTGTGTTAATTTTAGTTTTTAGTATTTTTATTAATTTTTTTATGTAGTTTAAAAAGTATAGATTTTTAACATTGGCCATTTATCATTTATTGACTTTAACTTGAAAATATCACCAGTTTTTCAGTATCAGCCAGAATCATCATAATGGTGCATCCATATCAGATATATAGATGTAAATCTTTGATTTTACAGATGAGAGATGTTATTGGAGCAGCTACTGCCAGCCAGACGTACTTCCGTGCATCTATGGATGCTTGTGTGGCGTACATGGTGACAAACCGCATCCCCAAACTGGTTCAAAGCAGAGTGCGCACCTGGTACAACTACACCTGGGACTCCCAGGGCATGCTGGGTAAAATCTAAATTTACATGTAAATAACGACTGGTAATGAATAGCAGGGTCCTGCCAACTAAGTTTTGGCTTCTCCTCAGATGAGTCTGAGCTTCTGGAACAGATGCCTCTGGTGATGAGAACAGCCATCGCTGTGGACATCAACCTTGCTACTTTCCAAAAGATCGACCTCTTTAAGGTGGGCTTGATTTAAGGAAGGAAACCGATTGCGACATGTTCAGTTGCTTGATGTTTCTGTGTTTTTTTTATCACAGGGTTGTGACAACCAGATGCTTGTGGACATGTTATTGAGGCTAAAGTCCATTGTGTACTTGCCTGGAGACTTTGTGTGCAAGAAGGTGAGTTATACTGCCTTTTATTTATAGACACCAAGCACATCAAGTCTTCACTCTTCTGTTTCTCCGCAGGGTGACATTGGAAAGGAAATGTACATCATTAAGGCCGGAGAGGTGCAGGTCATCGGTGGGCCGGACAATAAGATTGTGTTCGTGACTCTGAAGGCAGGCTGTGTGTTCGGAGAGATCAGGTGAGCTATCGAAATGAGAATCTGCCTTTAGAACTACACGTCGTGAATGAACTCATGTGTTTATAATCGACCCCAGTTTGCTACAGTCTTCAGCCAATGGAGGAAACAGAAGAACCGCTAATGTAGCGGCACATGGGTTCGCCAACCTCTTCGTACTGGATAAGAAAGACCTCAATGACATCCTGATTCACTACCCAGAGTCTCAGAAAGTGCTGGCCAGGAAGGGACGGTGAGTTATGTCACATGTTTCTTTCAGTCAGACATTCATATAGATGCACCCACAGTGAGCAGTGAGCAAAAAAATCATCAAAATTATCTAAATATCACAAGACTTGGGAAGGCATTAAGAACTCACTTAACTGTGTTAGATTTTTGCTTTAAAATATAGTGAAGTGCAATAGTGAAATCTGGAACATACTGGTTAACACCGTTTCACAGGAAACTGATGAAAGCCAAGGGTCCACCTCCTGCTGCTAAAGGCGATGAGGAAAAGAAGAAAGGACTGGCTATGTTCGGACAAAAACCTCCCACTCCCAAACTTTTGCGCGCCTTTGCAGGAGGAGTGTTCACCAAAAAAGGCTTTATGGACAGACTTAAGGTAAGGAATTCTATTATATACTAAAATATACAGTACCGTTTAAAATTTTGGGGCCAGCACATTTTTTGTTGTTATTGTTTTTGAAAAGAATTAATGCTTTTTTTTCCCAGAGTGACAGTAAAAACATTTATATTGTTACAAAAGATTTCTATTTCAAACAAATGCTGTTCACTTGAACATTTGATTTAACAAAGAATTCCTCTATGATATTAAGCAGCACAACTGTTTTAAACATTAATAATAATAATAATAATAATAATAATAATAATAATAATAATAATAATAATAATAATAAAGGATTCTTGTGCAGCAATAATAATAATAATAATAATAATAATAATAATAATAATAATAATAATAATAATAATAATAATAATAATAATAATAATAATAATAATAATAATAATAATAATAATAATAATAATAATAATAATAATAATAATAATAATAATAATAATAATAATAATAATAATAATAATAATAATAATAATAATAATAATAATAATAATAATAATAATAATAATAATAATAAAGGTTTCTTGTGCAGCAAAACAACATATTAGAATGATTTTTGAAGAATCATGTGACACTGAAGACTGGAGTAATTATGCTGAAAATTCAGCTTTGCATTACAAGAATGACTTACATTTTAAAATAAATAAAATAGAAAAAAAATTAAATTGTATTAAAATATTAAAAATTAATATTTCACAATATTATTCTTTACTTTTACTGTATAAGAAATTTATTTTCAAAAACATAATTTTTTTTTTGTAAACGTACCGACCCCAAACGTTTTAATGGTACTGTATATTGAATAAAACATTGAACTTTAGATGTATAATACAATATTATACAATTACAAAAAAGCTGGCTCAAAAAGAGTACATTTTTATTTATATTTTTCTTTTCTAGACTGCTGCTACTTCAGAACAATAATCACATGAAATACATTCAATATTTCTCTGTGAAGATTTCATTCCTTTTAAAATAACCTACGTATTTAAAAAAAAATTAATAAACGAGCTTCTTTCCCTGCTAACTTCAGTACTTGCCAATTAGTGAATCGTATTACTAATTGTAATACATGAATTATTTGATAGAAATTTGTTTCAATTCCGTCCAAAACAGTATGTTTGTAGATCTATTTTGTACTGAGACTTAAATAAAAGACATATTTTGTAATTGCGTAGTACAGTGAACATCATTTGTGTTTTATTTATACTTGAGAGTTTACACAGCCTTCATGCTCTCAGTTAGCTAAGGACTGGTAGTTGAGTCAGTCTGCCGTGGGATCTCACAGTTAATCTCTTTAGTCTGGCAGGGACATTGAGAGTTTTAATTAACTAAGTGGTCTTTCTAAATGTGGACCCACAGCACAAACAGTGCAGGAATAGCTGGCAGCTCCAGAATAGCCCACGAATGCACTATTAAAGTGCTATCTGGCACACTTTGAATAATCTGAGCCAATAATGCGACGAATATCTCTCATATCTGTCAAAAAGCAGTGCATATTTGACTATACAAATAGAAACGGCCCTTTGCAGCTCACCCTATAATGCCGTTTTAATAGAAGGATTGTGATTGGTTGACTGTAAGTGAGAAGGCCAGTGATAGGTCAGTCAAACTGTGGTGAACCCTGGGAAAGGGCCATTCCTAAGAGGGAATTAATAGAGCTCTAAGAATTAATTGAAGCAGGTCGGAGTTCACACATCAGCGACAGGTGGATAAGGAGAGTGGAGAGATAAATCTGGATGGGATCGTGTGCCTGCTCGAGCCAGTGCAGCCATGTTCAGCACCTTGAAAACGCTTTTTTGGCCCAAAACTGTGGCGGCAGTAGCTCAGAGCCCTGGATCTCCGACACCAGTGCCTTCACCTGCACCTGCCCCAGCACCTGCTCCTCCAACAAAGGTACGAGCACCTGGCTTTAGCACAACACAGCACCAGATTCATCCCACACCATACAACTGACTTCAATGTCAGAGAAATGTGTTTCTTTAAAAAAAAAAAAAAATAGCAATTTTAACAAATTAATGTATCTTGGTTTACTGGAAAGGCAGCTCAAAGGATAAGCTATTTGAATAAACGATAGGAATTTAAAAAGCTAATAATAGCTAATAAGTTCTAATAATATTTTTGACATTTATGTGGGAATGGAAGGATCTATAGACATTTATACATGTAAAAAGAGCAAGTAATTTCTTAGAGACTGAGACATAATTACACTTTAAAAGGGAAATCGTCTCTAGTACTTCTTTTTAAATTAGTCTAAAATATATATTCTGTTATATTGTGACCATAATTCTCTGTTCTTTTTAAAGAGTAATTCGCACCATTGGATACCTGATGTTTATTCTCCATCTCAACGCATGTCTTTACTACGTGGCATCTGACTACCAGGGGATCGGCAAAACCAAATGGGTGTACAGCGGAGAAGGCAGCGCGTAAGTTATTTCATCTAACTTTCAGAATCACTTTATTGTTTCTTTTTGTAAAGGTAAAGTACGTAACTTCTGCACCACTGGCAGCACAAAACAGTAATTGAAGTGCTCATGTAATGTTATTTTTTCCTCTTCCATTCACAGTTCAAGTTTAACAACAACAAAAAAAGCTAAATTGGTTTGCAGTAATTGCAGGTTTTCAAATTTTTTTTTCATATTCTCATAGCTACCTGAGGTGTTTCTTCTATGCGGAGAAATCCCTCCTGATGATCGCAGAACTTCCTTTCCCTGAGACCATGTTCGGTCAGATCTTTCAGATGACCAACTATTTTTTTGGTGCTCTATTTTTGTCCATCATTCTCGGCCAGGTAGACGTTTTGTCTCCAAAGCTTTTGTCTGTAAAGCTTATGCTCCTGAAGCGCTTGGTGGTTTTTTTGGTTCAGTTTTGATTTTTTTTTCACTTGGCTTTCTTGCTTGGCCATGGCTTTGCTCAGTGGTTCGATGTCTGCTGTTTTGACACTGTAATATGTGACCCTGGACCACAAAACCAGTCGTAAGTCATACAGGTATGTCAATAGCCAACAACACATTATATGGGTCAAAATGATCAATTTTTCTTTTATGCCAAAAATAATTAGTATATTAAGTAAAGATCGTGTTCCATGAAATTTCCTACATCAAAACTTAATTTTTGATTAGTAATATGTGTTGCTAAGGACTTCATTTGGACAATTCATTTGGATTTTCTCAATATTTTGATTTTTTTGCACCCTCAGATTGCAGATTTTCAAATAGTTGTATCTCGGCAAAATATATCCTAACCTAGCAAACCATACATTAATGGAAAGCTTATTTATTCAGCTTTCAATTTAAAAAAAAAATGACCCTTATGGCTGGTTTTGTGGTCCATGGTCACATATGATTGAATCTTTAATAAGGACTCAGATATGATTGCAAGATGTTTTTATTCCTTACATATACTGAATTTTACCATCTCTCTCTCTTTCCCAGGTACTTGCGCAGTTACTATTTTGCCGTGCGGACTCTGATCAACATCGGTGGTCTGCCTGAGCCTCACACAGTCTTTGAAATCACCTTTCAGTTAACAAACTTTTTTGTTGGTGTCTTTGTCTTCTCAAGTTTGATTGGACAGGTACATGATGTAATGATGTAAACATCATGAGCTCCTCCCCCTAGTCCCAGGCAGCCAATCGTATCATAGTCCTCATCCAGTTCTCCTGTCAGGAACCATGTAGATTTATTGTGATTGTGCTCCTGTTGTTTAAGAATGTAGGATGAGTCACTTCTTTACTAGATGTTACAGATTATAATGACATAATTTATAGGTGTCAGAGAGTTCGTGTAGAGATGAAGAAGATACATAAATCACAGGTACTTTATTTAAAGCCACTAACATAAACCCAGGAGAAAGACTTGGACTCTACAATCAAATTAAGACCTTCAATACCAGACGAAGACTGGGGAGAAACTGAGGACTTAAATAGAGCAAGCAAACAAGAACTAAACAAGCAGCACCTGAACAGAGTACTCAATCAATTAGTAACCATGGAAACATAACCAGCAAGGAACAAAGGAGCGCATGAACTATGGAACAAACTAGATAGCTGATCAAAAGACACACACAGAACGAGACAATAGGATTTTTTCATTTATTTATTCATTTTGTAGGCTCATTTATGCTGTTTTTACATGTTAATTACCTTTGCTGTCATCTAAAGGTCATCAAATAGTAATATCAGCTATTTGTCAGTTATCAGCCATAACATAAAAATTATTATTGGTTTATCAATATTGGGCATAATTTTGATATTGGTGCAAAAAAAGAGAGAGTAATTTTACAACACTGTTAAATGCAATCTTTAATAAGTCCCATAATAAATAGCCATTTTTTCATGCTGTACAAATAAAATATAGTGATGCCTAAATTGACTTGTATCATTTAATTTAAATGGTCAATTTCAGTTTGTAGTGTTTTATTTAAAATTTATTTTGACAAAATATTATACAATTTTAGTTTTGGCCATTTATCAGTTATGGGCCACAACATGAAAATAATTATTGATTTATCAATATTGGCCATAATTTTAATAATGGTTAAATGAATGAATGAATTAATTAATTAATTAAAGTAACAATACACTAACTATGGAATCTTTAATAAATCTCAAAATAAATTTTCATATATAACATTGTGTTCATTTTAGTTTTTAGTATTTTTATTAATTTTTTTATGTAGTTTAAAAAGTATAGATTTTTAACATTGGCCATTTATCATTTATTGACTTTAACTTGAAAATATCACCAGTTTTTCAGTATCAGCCAGAATCATCATAATGGTGCATCCATATCAGATATATAGATGTAAATCTTTGATTTTACAGATGAGAGATGTTATTGGAGCAGCTACTGCCAGCCAGACGTACTTCCGTGCATCTATGGATGCTTGTGTGGCGTACATGGTGACAAACCGCATCCCCAAACTGGTTCAAAGCAGAGTGCGCACCTGGTACAACTACACCTGGGACTCCCAGGGCATGCTGGGTAAAATCTAAATTTACATGTAAATAACGACTGGTAATGAATAGCAGGGTCCTGCCAACTAAGTTTTGGCTTCTCCTCAGATGAGTCTGAGCTTCTGGAACAGATGCCTCTGGTGATGAGAACAGCCATCGCTGTGGACATCAACCTTGCTACTTTCCAAAAGATCGACCTCTTTAAGGTGGGCTTGATTTAAGGAAGGAAACCGATTGCGACATGTTCAGTTGCTTGATGTTTCTGTGTTTTTTTTATCACAGGGTTGTGACAACCAGATGCTTGTGGACATGTTATTGAGGCTAAAGTCCATTGTGTACTTGCCTGGAGACTTTGTGTGCAAGAAGGTGAGTTATACTGCCTTTTATTTATAGACACCAAGCACATCAAGTCTTCACTCTTCTGTTTCTCCGCAGGGTGACATTGGAAAGGAAATGTACATCATTAAGGCCGGAGAGGTGCAGGTCATCGGTGGGCCGGACAATAAGATTGTGTTCGTGACTCTGAAGGCAGGCTGTGTGTTCGGAGAGATCAGGTGAGCTATCGAAATGAGAATCTGCCTTTAGAACTACACGTCGTGAATGAACTCATGTGTTTATAATCGACCCCAGTTTGCTACAGTCTTCAGCCAATGGAGGAAACAGAAGAACCGCTAATGTAGCGGCACATGGGTTCGCCAACCTCTTCGTACTGGATAAGAAAGACCTCAATGACATCCTGATTCACTACCCAGAGTCTCAGAAAGTGCTGGCCAGGAAGGGACGGTGAGTTATGTCACATGTTTCTTTCAGTCAGACATTCATATAGATGCACCCACAGTGAGCAGTGAGCAAAAAAAATCATCAAAATTATCTAAATATCACAAGACTTGGGAAGGCATTAAGAACTCACTTAACTGTGTTAGATTTTTGCTTTAAAATATAGTGAAGTGCAATAGTGAAATCTGGAACATACTGGTTAACACCGTTTCACAGGAAACTGATGAAAGCCAAGGGTTCACCTTCTGCTCCTAAAGGCGGAAGAAAGGACTGGCTATGTTCGGACAAAAACCTCCCACTCCCAAACTTTTGCGCGCCTTTGCAGGAGGAGTGTTCACCAAAAAAGGCTTTATGGACAGACTTAAGGTAAGGAATTCTATTATATACTAAAATATACAGTACCGTTTAAAATTTTGGGGCCAGCACATTTGTTGTTGTTATTGTTTTTGAAAAGAATTAATGCTTTTTTTGTGACAGTAAAAACATTTATATTGTTACAAAAGATTTCTATTTCAAACAAATGCTGTTCACTTGAACATTTGATTTAACAAAGAATTCCTCTATGATATTAAGCAGCACAACTGTTTTAAACATTAATAATAATAATAATAATAATAATAATAATAATAATAATAATAATAATAATAATAATAATAATAATAATAATAATAATAATAATAATAATAATAATAATAATAAAGGTTTCTTGTGCAGCAAAACAACATATTAGAATGATTTTTGAAGAATCATGTGACACTGAAGACTGGAGTAATTATGCTGAAAATTCAGCTTTGCATTACAAGAATGACTTACATTTTAAAATAAATAAAATAGAAAAAAAATTAAATTGTATTAAAATATTAAAAATTAATATTTCACAATATTATTCTTTACTTTTACTGTATAAGAAATTTATTTTCAAAAACATAATTTTTTTTTTGTAAACGTACCGACCCCAAAAGTTTTAATGGTACTGTATATTGAATAAAACATTGAACTTTAGATGTATAATACAATATTATACAATTACAAAAAAGCTGGCTCAAAAAGAGTACATTTTTATTTATATTTTTCTTTTCTAGACTGCTGCTACTTCAGAACAATAATCACATGAAATACATTCAATATTTCTCTGTGAAGATTTCATTCCTTTTAAAATAACCTACGTATTTAAAAAAATTAATAAACGAGCTTCTTTCCCTGCTAACTTCAGTACTTGCCAATTAGTGAATCGTATTACTAATTGTAATACATGAATTATTTGATAGAAATTTGTTTCAATTCCGTCCAAAACAGTATGTTTGTAGATCTATTTTGTACTGAGACTTAAATAAAAGACATATTTTGTAATTGCGTAGTACAGTGAACATCATTTGTGTTTTATTTATACTTGAGAGTTTACACAGCCTTCATGCTCTCAGTTAGCTAAGGACTGGTAGTTGAGTCAGTCTGCCGTGGGATCTCACAGTTAATCTCTTTAGTCTGGCAGGGACATTGAGAGTTTTAATTAACTAAGTGGTCTTTCTAAATGTGGACCCACAGCACAAACAGTGCAGGAATAGCTGGCAGCTCCAGAATAGCCCACGAATGCACTATTAAAGTGCTATCTGGCACACTTTGAATAATCTGAGCCAATAATGCGACGAATATCTCTCATATCTGTCAAAAAGCAGTGCATATTTGACTATACAAATAGAAACGGCCCTTTGCAGCTCACCCTATAATGCCGTTTTAATAGAAGGATTGTGATTGGTTGACTGTAAGTGAGAAGGCCAGTGATAGGTCAGTCAAACTGTGGTGAACCCTGGGAAAGGGCCATTCCTAAGAGGGAATTAATAGAGCTCTAAGAATTAATTGAAGCAGGTCGGAGTTCACACATCAGCGACAGGTGGATAAGGAGAGTGGAGAGATAAATCTGGATGGGATCGTGTGCCTGCTCGAGCCAGTGCAGCCATGTTCAGCACCTTGAAAACGCTTTTTTGGCCCAAAACTGTGGCGGCAGTAGCTCAGAGCCCTGGATCTCCGACACCAGTGCCTTCACCTGCACCTGCCCCAGCACCTGCTCCTCCAACAAAGGTACGAGCACCTGGCTTTAGCACAACACAGCACCAGATTCATCCCACACCATACAACTGACTTCAATGTCAGAGAAATGTGTTTCTTTAAAAAAAAAAAAAAATAGCAATTTTAACAAATTAATGTATCTTGGTTTACTGGAAAGGCAGCTCAAAGGATAAGCTATTTGAATAAACGATAGGAATTTAAAAAGCTAATAATAGCTAATAAGTTCTAATAATATTTTTGACATTTATGTGGGAATGGAAGGATCTATAGACATTTATACATGTAAAAAGAGCAAGTAATTTCTTAGAGACTGAGACATAATTACACTTTAAAAGGGAAATCGTCTCTAGTACTTCTTTTTAAATTAGTCTAAAATATATATTGAACGTTTAAAAGTATAATAAATGTGCATGCAGGAAATTGACAAATCAATATAATTAATTGTCCATTTGCAACTTCATATATATATGTGTGTGTGTGTGTGTGTGTGTGTGTGTGTGT